CGTTGCCCCCATTCTAGCCAGGGGCCTTTTGTTAAGCAATGTTGGCCACCAAGCCAGACGGCCTTTGAAAGAGCGTCTTATAATGAACATGCAGCGATTATTAACTATCCTCACCATTGCCTCTATAGTAAGGCAATTAAAGTTGAATTAGAGTGTAACCTACTGTGACATTTATTATTATATAAGTTGATTACAGTAATCAGATGTTGACTTTCCACAATATATTTTCCAAATATTATACTAAATGTGAGATCATATATAACACTTACTTTGTCAAAATGTTGTTTGGTGTCAATTAAATTATTGACAGCAATATAATTTTCTACACACTTTATTATTTTGATACGTTTATTGTCAGCAGATGATGGCTTATCACCAGATTTGGAATTCAGAGATGGGGGTGGGAAAATTCAGTTTAATGTTAATTCTCCATACTTTCTTCAATAATACTTCTGCTAAGATAAATGTGTCAGAGTTTTGGTGGTTATTGTGTTAGAACTCCATTTGGAAGTTTATGGCCCCTAAATTAGGCTTCTAGGCCTGGCCCTGTCCTCATAGCTAAACTCAGTTTCATCCTACAGTTTTATGGCTGCAACCAAATCTCCCACAGATTTTCCCTGCAGCTGCATCTCCAAGCCCTGTTGACATGCTTGGTGTTTGAAGAGCTTGAGAAGAATGCCTTGATAGCCGTCACTGCGATTCTTAAACTCTTTTGTACAGAAGTCAGTTGGGTTGATATTTGTAAGCCAAGACCACGGGAGAGGACTCTGAAGCCCAGCCCAAAGAAGAGACCGGGCAGTGAGAGCTCCAGGAGCCCTTTGGACCAAAGCCAAGCCCGAAAGCTCCAGAGAAGGCAAGCGATGAGCTCCACTTTTCCAGGGAATCCCTTCCTGCAGAGACTTCCTCTCCTGAGGAAATAGTCACGGAGAGGAGGGGGTGGTGGATCTGGCTAGGAGGAAGGGAAAGGCTCACCAGGAGATACAAACCTCTTGGAACAAGCCATGGGCTAAGGTTCCTAGGGGTAATGGAACGTGGGAATGGCCTTAGGAGAAACCCATGTTATTGATCTTTTATTAGTTGTGACTAATAATTCAATAATCAAATTAAATAACTGGATTATTTAAAATTGCTCAAAGGAAAAATTAGACAATTGCCCCAGCAATTCACATGTTTACATCTGTCAATTGTATTCATGAGATCTAATCCCTCTGTCTTTCTTTCTGCCTCTATCTCTTTCTCAACCCTCCCCAGAGAGAGAGAGAGAGAGAGAGAGGGAGGGAGAGAAAGAGGGAGAGGGGAGAGAGAGAGGAGCAAGAGAGAGGGAGGGAGAGAAAGAGGGGAGAGAGAGAGAGAGAGAGAGAGAGATCAGAGCAACACCAGAGTTCCAGGTGATTCTGGCAAGATGCCTGTTTGTCCCACAGGAGTCTGCTCTCAAAACTGCCTGATGGCTTTGAATTGAGGGAGGAGGGCCACCACTGTTTACTTTGAGGTCATTCCCCTCAGGCCTGGGGGAGATGCAGTTGCTGGCTGAATTGTGGTGGGGAAGATTTAAGGTTTCTTCTCCAAGGGAAAAAGTTGTGGCAGGAGGAATAGTGCAAGAAGCAGGGGCAACTGGAGGCTGAAGACCAGGAGAAGATGGCACTGAGGTGCAGAAGGGGATGAAGGATGCAGGAAGAAAACAGAGAGCAGAAGGATGCCGGTGCCCAGCGGCTGAGCTGACGCCATAGCAAACTGATTCATGCCATCCAAGAGCATCTCAGTAAGGCTTCTGGGTCCCACCACAAAGGCATCATGGAAGAACAGAAACCACCAAGGCTTTCTGGAGAGGCTCCCGGAGCATCTCAAGGCGCTTGAACAGCTGCTCACCCTACTCCTGGTCTTAGCTTTGACGGCTTCTTCCTGGAACCTTGACGACTTGGGCCTATGATGCTTTGCTTGTCTGGAGGCCAATTCAAACAGATTGATGGGGATCCATTCCCCCCCCCCCCCCGGCTTCATTGAAGGCCTCTTCTTTTGGTGTATTTATTCTTTGCTTATTTTTGATCATAAGTCTGCTTCTCCCAAAAAGGGTCACAAGATCTTTCCCCCAGACCTGCCCTCCAGAGATGCCATCATACATTGAAGAGGGGGAACGGGCGGAATGGCAGCCGAAGACACTTGAGGGGTGGGCAAAGGCGAAGTTAAATGCGGCTGCCTGGGACCTGGGAGACGAGCTGAATGAGGCTGTGGACAGAGCCGGGGTGGGGGGAAGGGGGAGGGGGCTGCCATTCAGCTTCAGGCCGCAGATCAAACAGGGAAGGCCATCCTCTCTCTGCACCCAGAACTCTTCAAGACTTCGTGGTTGCATGTGGAAAAAAAGAGAGATCCTTTTTCCTGATCACTTGCCCTTCTGAAGTTGATTCAGCTAGGTAAGATGTTTACATCATTTCAACATTATTTACAAATGAATCAGGCAATCCAATGAGCACTGATTTAACAAGAAGGCTGTCTTAAGAGAGAACTGGAGAGTCGCTGTTGTATTAATTATTCAGCCTTCTATTTCAAACACATTCCAGTCATTTTTAAAGAATGCACTGATATTTTATATGTCAAAAACATCAATGTTAAAAGATCAAATTACAGAATTTAATTATTCCTACTGCTTTAAAAACTTTGGAATATAGATTTGAAATATAAGGCATTATCCAAATAAGAGATTTATTCTAGCAAGAACAAAACATGAACACTAATATTTGCTTGTTTGAAAATGTTTGCAGAAATTTTAATAGAATTGTGTAGTAATTGTATGCAGTAATTCTAATTTAATAGAATTGTTCAGTTGTAATATATACTTTAAAAACAGTTTTTAAATGTCAACAACGGTCGTGATATTTAATACCCGCCCCTTGTTTTACTTCTGCAGTTGGGAAAGTTGCGCCTTTCGTCTCCCCTCTACCGGAAGAGCACGGAACGTTCTCTGCTTGCAATGCATACTTTGGCCACAGGGTGGCGAGGGGATAGAAAGTTTTAAATCAAAGTAGAATTCTTCGAGGAGATGGGAAAATGCCCCTCCCCCCCATAGTTTGTCAGTCCATATTTAATTTCCATTATTGCCATTTAGCAGTGAGACATAGATAAAGCAGCACAAGGGTTATTGCAAAAATTTAAAAACCCTCGGGGTATAATAAAATACAGACAAAACCAGGCAGCATAAGCCATACAGCAAGACTGAGAGTTCATTCTGAGTAAGAGGCGTCTGAAGTAAGGGGGGGGGGGCTACCTGGACGTTGTAATCCTACAAAAGAAAGAACTAGAAGCCAGACCCCTGTCGAGACTCGCCGGGCAAGGGAGCAGCGGGGGCCTTCCCAATCGGAGCCCTTGACAGGCAAAGCCTCCCGGGGTGCAACCGGGCAGCGCTCCGTGGGCCTCGCAGAGACAGGCGGGGTCGGGGTTAGGGTTTCGGGCAATGGGCAGCAGCTGACCCGAAGAGACAGAGGAAGGGAAGCGGCTCACCGGCAGGGTACAGGGGAGAGCCGTCGCCAAGCCAGGTCGCGTCTTCCTCGCCACGCGGGGATATCCCTGCAAGGCCAGAGAAGCCGACGGGCCTCCGGCCGTCTTTCCCAAGGACTAACCTGGGACAGCCTCGTCCATTTCTGGGTCTAGCACAGTTCAGACGAGCCGGCTCCAACCCGGATCGGGGCACCCCCAAGAACCTCCGGGAGACGGATAGGGCCCCGCCAGAGCCACCTCGCGGCGCCCCAAGTGGGGTGAGAGGAGGGCAACCGTGGATCTCTCCGAGGCAGAGAAGGCGCCCGCGAGCCCGCCCACGAACAGGCCCCACGGAGTCCGCGAGACGGGCGAGCGCCGGCCCGCTCCCACGCAGCAGCGCGGAGGCCGGAGTAGCGGCACCGGAACTGGCGGAGAAGGCGCGGCGACTCCCCCCGCCTCAACCTCCATCGCCCTCCCTGCGTCTCCGACCCTCCCGCCACCCTTCCCTGCGATCGGTTTTTCCAATTCCTCCGACCGGAGGACCGCCGCTACCCCGCGGAGCGAGCCGTGCTAGACGGAAGGCGGGCAGAGCTAGGGTTGAAGCCCAGCCTAACGCAGCCTGGCGAGACGGGCGGAGGTGCATCGCCAATGAGTCAAAGGGAGACAGCGCCTCTGAGCATGCGAAGACGGCCGCTTCTTTGGGGGAAGAGACAACCAGGCGAGGAGGAGGAGGAGGGTCTCCTGCTTGAGCAAGGGGTTGGACTAGAAGACCTCCAAGGTCCCTTCCAACTCTGTTATTCGGAGGAGGAGGCGGAGGCGGAGGCGGCGGCTGGGTCTTTGGGAAGACCAGGAGGTTCGCTCAGCCTCCGGGCCACCCCGGAGAAAAAGCAGCGCCTTCGCCCCAAACGGAGCAGCGCCCCGGGAGCACGACCTGCGGAAGCCGGCCGGCCGGGTCCTCTGCAGGAAACCGACCCGGCCAACCGGAGCTGTCCGGCAGGCGGCCCGCATCGCCGGCTGGGCCCCTCCTCTGCTCCGCCCGCCCAGCCGCGCCCGGACCCCGCGCAGAGGGACCGAGGGGCGGGCGGCGCGGGGGTCCCGGCCGCGGGAGAGGGCGAGGAGGGAGGGGCAGCCCATCCAGCCTGGCCGGCCGCCTCGGGCCGGGCGGGACACGGGCGGCGGGAGAGGCGCGTCTCCGCCTTCCCCCTCCCGGAAGGCTCCCCCGAAGGCAGCCGGGGTGGAGCCGGACGCTGCCCGTTTTCGGCGGCGCTGGCCAAATCGCCGCGCTTCTGCTGCCGCCGCCGCCGCCTCGCAGTCCCTCCGGAGCGGCAGCGGCCGCCCTCCCTGCCGCGGGGTCTGCCGCGACCAGGGCCGGGGTCGAGCCCCTCCGGGCGCGCCCTGTTCGTGGGCCACGTGACGGGGAGCCCCCGCCCCCCCGGTCCCTCAGTCCTTATAAGGGCAGTGACGTCGCGGCATTCACGGCCGGCCCATAAATACTTGGCGCCGACTTTGCCGTTACCGGGAGCTGCAAGCGATCCGAAGGGCGCGCGAGGGACGGGAGCGCTCTGGCCCCCTGGCGGCGCTCGGCTGATGCGGGGCCCCGCCGGTTCCAGGAGCCCCCCCGGCCTTTGCCCAGCCAAGCGTCTCGGCCCCGCTCCGGAGGGGAAACGCGCCCCGACCGCTTCCCCGGCGGCATAAGCGGCCGCTGGACCCGGCCGGCGGCCTTCACGGCCGACCGCCCCCCCTCCCCACGATGACCGCCAAGGCGGTGGACAAAATCCCCGTCTCCCTCAGCGGGCTGGTGCACCTGCCCGAGGGCCTTTACCCCGCCGAAGACGCAGCCGGCGCCCTGCCGGCGTCGGTCATCGGCTTTCCCGGCGGTGACCCGGGAGGCCCCTTTGACCCGCTGAGCGGTAAGTGGCCCTCCCTGCCCCCCGCGGCCCCCGCGGCCTTTGCATGACGGGGGGGCAGAACCGGAGGCGGGGGCGCCCACGGGGGGAGGAGGCGTGAGCGGAGGCGGCGGCAGGACTCCCGCGGCCACCGGCCGACTTAAGTGGCCGCTTCCGCCGGAGCCCTGGAAAGAGGCGGCGCGCCGGTCGCCACCGAGGCCGGGCCGGCAAGACTGCTGGGCGCTTCCGCCCGAGAAGCTGGGACGAACGAGCAGCTTCGAACTAGTAAACGCGTGGCTGACCTGGGGCCTGGCCGCCCGGTGATCTGAGCGCCAGATCTCTTCGATCCCCCCACGCGGCTTTCCATCGTGGGCTCGGCCCGGGCGGCCGAGAGAGGCTCGCAGAATTTCGGGGGCTTCTCTGGCGGTCAGAGCTCGAGCGCTTGTAGGATCGGGCGCAGTGAAGGGGCCGCTGCCTGGAGGGCCGACGCTCCTAACCGGGCGCTAGGCGGCTAAGCGGAAGAGGAGCCGGCGCAGGGCGGGCGGGCTGGAGAACTGAAATCCTCTCGCCGCCGGGGGGGCTGTTTCTGCTTTGGTCGCAGACTTCCCCCCCCCCCCCAGTCTCCCCGCGGAGCTCTCGGGCGAGACCCACCGACGCGAGACCCTCCGCCTGGCCTCAGGCGGACGGCGATCCTAAGCTGCCCCAGCCAGGGAAGGCCGCCTGGGTGCGGGGGTCCCGAAGAGCGTTCCGGATGCGCGGTGGTGACCGGCTTTCTCTTCCCTCCGTCCTCCAGATGGGCTGATCGGCTCGGACATGAGCGACAAACGAGCGCTGGACTTGCAATACGCCTGCAGCGGTTTCGCGCCGCCGCCTCCGCGCGGCCAATCCTTCACCTACATGGGCAAGTTCTCCATCGACCCGCAGTATCCCGGCGCCAGCTGCTACGCGGCCGACGGCATCCTCAACTTGGTGAGCGCCGGCATCCTGCAGGGAGTGGCCGCTCCGTCGACCGCATCCCCGGCCTCCGCTGCGGTCGTTCCATCGTCCACCGCCTCCGCCGGATCCCCCGCGGGACCCGGGTGCGCCATGGCTCTGGCCGCCGGGGACCTGGAGCATCTGTACTCGCCGCCGCCGCCGCCGCCGCCTTACTCCGCGTGCGGGGAGCTTTATCAAGCCCAGGCGCAACAGCCGACGCCGTCGGACGGCTCCACGCCCTTCCTGGCCGCCTCGACGGTCCCCTACCCGCCGCCACCTTCCTACCACCACTCTCCCAAGAGCGTGGCGGCGTTGGGGGCCGACGCCGCCGGCCTCTTCTCCGTGATCCCGGAGTACACGGGCTTCTTCCAGTCGCCGCCGCCGCCGCCGCCGCCGCCGCCGCCCTGCAGCCAGCGCGAGTTCCACGGCCCGGCGGAGCGCAAGCCCTTTCCCTGCGCGCTGGACTCGGTGCGCGTCCCGCCGCCGCTCACGCCGCTCTCCACCATCCGCAACTTCACGCTGGGCGCCCCCCCGAGCGGACCGAGCGAAGGGCCCTCCTCGGGGACCGCGGTCGGCGCGCGCCTGGCGCCGGGCGTCTACGGGGGGCCGGGCGGCCTGCCGCTGCGCCCCATCCTGAGGCCCCGCAAGTACCCGAACAGGCCCAGCAAGACTCCGGTGCACGAGCGGCCGTACCCGTGCCCGGCCGAGGGCTGCGACCGGCGCTTCTCGCGCTCCGACGAGCTGACCAGGCACATCCGCATCCACACGGGCCACAAGCCCTTCCAGTGCCGCATCTGCATGCGCAACTTCAGCCGCAGCGACCACCTCACCACGCACATCCGCACGCACACCGGCGAGAAGCCCTTCGCCTGCGACTTCTGCGGCAGGAAGTTCGCCCGCAGCGACGAGCGCAAGCGCCACACCAAGATCCACCTGCGCCAGAAGGAGCGCAAGGGCGCCGCCGCCGCCGGGGCCCCCCAGCCTCCGCCGGGCCCAGGAGCAGCCGCTCTGCCCTCCTGCGGCGCTCGGACGCGGACGCCCTGAGGCCTCGGGCGGCAGGTAACCGCGGAAGCCGCCGCCGCGCTGCCCCGGGGCTCGCGGGAGCGCTTAGGAAGCGCCGCCTGTGGCCGGTGGCTCTTTCCGGAGGGAGCGGGGAGGGCGGCCGGCGACGGGCCAGCAGGACGGAGGGAGGACCGGTTGCACTTTAGAGGCTGGGAGCCGAGCGGGAGCCGCAGGACTGGCGCGGCGCGCAACTCTTCGTCGTCGGGACGGCTGCGAGAAGCTTTTACTTGAAAATCGGTGTCGGCAGAGAGAGAAGAGAGCGAGTGCCATGGGGCTGGGCGAGACATCGGGCAATATTTATTCCGGGGGGGTGGGGGGACAAATTCCTGCTTTAAAACGGTTCGTCTCTCCTTCCCCCCCCCCTCCGCGGCAAGTATTTCCCCTTTGCTATATTTTCCTGCGCGTTCTTGAAAACCTATTTAAAAGGAAAGCAGAGCAAGGCGGCCTAAGCAGAGAGCGAGAGTCCCGGGTGCACGTCTGTAACTTTTCTGAGCTGTCCTTGGTGCCTTTTCAAATAGGTGGGCCGTGACTGCATGTTCAATTGGTTGCCTTATTAATCTTGGGGAAGGCGGAGGGGGGGGGGAGATGTCAGATTTTAATCATGAACAGAAGGGGGTCTGGAAAAGTTCTGACCTGGCTGTTAAATAGAGTTGCATAGTTCTGTCTTAATATTCAAATTTTTATAAAAAGATCTATTTTTGTATGCATTGGAGATTGCCCCCCCAACTGACTTATTAAATGTTGCTTCTGTGGAATATAATTAAAAAGAATTGTAAAATAGACATTTTTGCACCCTGAAAATTTATGTATTGACAGAGGTTGAAAAAGAAAAGATTTCATCTAAGAAGACACAACTGCTAATTGGGAGCCTTCCCTCCTTCCCTCCCTCCCTCCACCCCCCTCCCCAAAATAAATCAGCACTGTGAATACTGCATGGTGGAAATAAATGATTTCTATAGACTATGACAACCAGAAGGGCATCATCACATTCTGTCTGTGTTAACTATCTCCCAATGCACACAATGTAGCCCCCCCCCCCAACAGAACCTGCTGCAGAGTCTGGGGTGAGAGAGACGCTTCCTGCAAAGTTTCCCTTCAAGTGAGAAAGGAGGGAGGGAGGGAGGGAGGGAGGGAGGGGGGGAGATACCAAGGTGGGGTTTGTAGAGCATCTGGGGTTATAGTGGTTAGCCAACGGACGGCTCCACAGCTGGTAGCCGCACAGGCCAGAGGCTACTTTCATAGGCCAGGGATTCACTTGGGTTAATACATGCAGACACAGCTTCCGAGTCCCTGTCTCCGTCTGAGCCATGCACGTCCCACTGCACCTTTCCTGATGCAAATCCCACAGAAGAGCTCCTCCTCCACCTTCCGGGCAAAATGACAATTCTCTCCCCCCCCCCATCCCGATTTTAGGGCGAGAAGTCAATTTATTTTTCTCTCTTGAAAATGACCCTGTACTCTCTGAGTTCTTCAGCACTCAGCCAACCTCGGCTACTCAGAAAAGGGAGATAATGCAAACCCAGCCCAGCCTGAGCCTGATGAGAGGAGACCACCAGGAAATGCCAGGGCTGAAGAAGAAAGCAGGACTAAGCACTTTGGGATGATGCCAGGAGCCACATCTGGCCAGAAGCCAGCTCGTGTGTGTGTGTGTGTGTGTGTGTGTGTGTGTGTGTGTGTCCCATCTTTGTGAAAGTCACACACTACAGAAAGTCCCTGCCAAGGAGGCCTAAGAGGATTGGTAAGGCACCTGCAATAGTGCACACTTTCACACTAGATGAAACTCACACGTGGCTCTTTGGCAAACGCCAGGCAGAGGTAACCAGGTAACTTTTTCCACCAGGTAACCAGGGACAGTGTCTGTCCTGCACCTGCACATATGTGAGGGCATTATGCAAGCCACAATTTGGCTTTCAGGATAGGGGGGCAAGTTCAGCAATTGGGACAGAGGAGCACCCCCCCCATCGCCCAGAAGGCACAATAGGTGGAGTCCCTCTGAGCATGCCAGGCTCTCCTTCCCTCATAGGTTCCCCTTCATCCCCATTTGCCCCAGGGAAAGGCAGCTTTGCACTGGCTTGTCTCACACAGCCATTGTCCCCCAGGGCTATCCATAGCCCCCCATCCTGCCTTCCCAACATGGTGCCGGCTGTGCAGTGCCAAACCCAGGAGCGCCGGTCAGCTTGGGGAAGGCTGGCTTAGGAAGGAAGGCTTGTGGTTGGTGTGGCAGGAACACTCAGTGGTCACGCTCATTGGCCAAGCACCAGGCAGATGCTTCTGTGGATCCCGAAGAGAAAGGACCACCCCAGGCGCTGATCGGGTCTCTGGATCTAGTTGCGCTTGGTCTGAGCACAAAGGATTTTCCCCAGTTGCAATCAATAGACCTGGTGCTCACTGCGGGGCTGGGGTGGGGGCGGCCCATGACTCACTGCTGTTCCACGATTTCAGGCAAGCTAATTTGAAGCAGGCTCTGGAAATAAACAAAGCCCCAGGTGCGGAGCAATTTTGATGAAAATTGCTTTAAAGAGCACGATACTAGTCTCGGTCCCTGATTCTGAACATCACCCGGATTTAAAGTCCTTTGAATTGGGCCTCTGAGGAAAGAGGATCTGGGAATGGCCCTGACTCGGTGAGCCTTTCAACGTGTTTTTGTAAAGCCAGGAATTTCCAAGAAGCCCTGGCCTTGCGACACCTGGGATTCAGAGCCCTGATGTCATTTCCAGCGTTGTTCTTCTTTTGGTGCTTGGATGGGAGGCCACCAGGAGACGCCAGGTGTCAGGGGAAGCCAGAACATTGAAAACACACCCTTGAGGGGAGCAGGGGCAAACCACTTGGGTACAGCTGTCAAGAAAAGTATGTGATTGTGTCTGCAAAAGTCCGCATTGACCTGGGGATTTGAAGAGGTGGCTTAAAAGCACCTCAGCTGGTGTTGCTTCTTAGCAATGACATGAGTAGGTTTTCCCCAGCTTTACTTGTTCCCCACTTGGCCTTTTGAGGTCTCTCAAGGGAGCATTCCTTGCTGCCCCGTGATCCGATCCATCCCCTTTGCTGCTGGTGGTCTTGTTTTCTTTCAACTTGTCCAAGCGTGGTGAGTTTCTCCATCTCTGAAGACATTATTATATGTCTCACAGTCAGCCAGATGCTTAGTCTGGATTTGGCATTTTTCTCCACCTTCCCAAAGACCTGGGATAGGCTGATGTTTATTATTATGGTTGTTGTTGTTGTTGTTGTGAAATGCTGTAGGGATTCTGTAGAACTCATTGGGGTATATGGATGGTTCTGGACCATTTATTCCATTGCTGGACATCTCCATCCTAGAGGAACTGATTGCTCACCGGATCAAAAATTTGGCAGGATTCTGGCGTAGCAAATTGAGGGAAGGGCCAGCTGCCCCATGAACACAAAATGGTGAAGAAGCAACTCCCTTCCTTGACGCTCACCAGATGCAGCAGCTGGGATCTGAGGCACCCGGGTGCATCCCCTCTCTTCTTCTCCAGGCACTCGGCAGTAGAGGGATCTCCCAGCCATCGTGAGATCAGGGCTCGTCATTCTTAGGGAGGGGATGCAAAATCCAAGTGTGTTCCTTAAGAGTGGCCAATCTAAACGAAGAAGCCACCTTACATTCCTGGTTTGTTTTAAATTAACCTCTGACCAGGCACTTGTACTCATTATGCTAATTTATGCATCAGTACCAATGGCTCACTAGCTCATTCTTTTGGTCTGCCTTCCTTTCGTTGTACCAATGAACTGGTCCTTATTGAGACCTTAAGGGGGCCATGGGGGCCTAGTGGTTCAGATGTTGGCCTTGTCAACCAAAGATCAGCAGTTCGAGACCCAAACGTCACGCAGCGGGGTGAGCTTCCCATCCTTGACCCAGCTTCTGCCAACCTAGCAGTTTGAAAGCATGCAAATTCAACCAGCAATAGCACTTAGTGTTTCCCAGTGGTTTACAACCCTCTCTAAGCGGTTTACAGAGTCAGCCTATGCCCCCCCACAACAATCTGGGTCCTCATTTTACAAGCCTCGGAAGGGTGGAAGGCCGAGTCAACCTTGAGCCGGTCAGGATCGAACTTCTTGCAGTGGGAATGCAAATTTACCTGCAATACCACATTCTAACCACTGCACCACCACAGCTCCTAGTGTAAACAGGTACCACTTTGGTGGAAAGGTAGCAGCGTTCCACGCACCTCAGGCATTTTATATGGGGAAGCAAAAATGTATCCTTGCTGAGTTTTAAATGGTTTCGATGCTTCGGTAACAGAAAAAAATTCCTCCTCCTTATTCTGCTGCGCTAATAGAGTGCAGCCCAGATTTGTATGAATGTTTTTTAATGAAGAAAAATATAATCCCTGCAAAGAGAAAACTTGCACTTCAGTGTTTTGCCTAGTACTTTTCTTGCAGAAAAAGTCTGTGGTTTTGGCAAGTTGCCCCAGTGGGATTTCCCACCAGTGCCGGTAGTTGGGTAGGTGGCATCATCCTTGGATATCATTTGATGTAACAAAATGACATGAAACTGCAGCTTTATGGGAACCAAATTGGGGGGTAAGGCCCTGCAGGTGTTCTCAGATACTATGTAATACAACGCATGCATTCACTAAGATAAGAATGAGAAACTGTAGGAAAGGTATATCTATCAGTTATAGAACGAGACCTCTTTTTTTGGCAATGTGTAGGGGGGTGAAGCTGCTTCAGACTATGGTCTCGCTGTAAGCGGTGCAACGTCTGAATTCCGTTCAGCAAATCTTCCACGGATATTTAGACCTGGGCTCGTCTACTATTCTCCTTCTTAGTGCCAATAAATAAACATTACAGCGTGGAACAAAAAAGTAGACAGGAATAATTCCAGAATGGCACTAAGATCAAAGGGCTGAATTATTCTTGCTACTCAGTAAGAGACACCAGACAATTGAAAGGTTACCTGAGCTGGTCTTGTGGCTTTCAGGCAAACGCTGGTCTGGAACAGACCCATTACTCTAATTTACCATGGCACAGAAATTATTTGTCTTTGAAATAGTCATGAGTGAATGGGGTCCCATTGGCTGAATCTGCTCAGGCTAAGCTAAGTTTACTATATATAGTCCCTGCCACCCACCAGCAGAAAAAGGGGAAGAGGCCCCCCTTTCCTCCCATCTGAAGCAGCCCTCCCGATATGGTCCTAGGCCGGACAGTGGAGAAAAAGAGGACCAGAGGTCTGGATGCAGGAGGGAACCTGGCTTCCCTCAAGCCAGCCTGGAGGGCAGTCAGCATCTTGCTTGGGGGGCTCAACCAAGCCTTCCATCCCCAGGAAACAGGCACTCCCTCGGTTCAGGCTCTCATTCCGCCAGTCGTGGTTTTACTGTCCAGTGAAATACAGCTGCTCTTGGGTCTAGATCTATACAGTGCTGAGATTTAACAGATCTTGGCTCTCCTTGGCTCATAAAAGACCAAAGGCTGATAGTAATAAAAACACCAAACATTAAACTTGTTTTCCAAACTGAATATTATCTAATCTTTGTGCTATATTAATGTAAACATTTCTCTCCATTGGCTGAAAGTGGCCGAATGACCCCAGGAAACTCAATCTGTATTAAACTGTAAGCTGAATCCCCACCTCATCTACGGTGCTCCTGTTTAGCCAGCCTACATTAGTATTTCTTCTGCCCACAAAGGAACAATTTTAACTTTCAAAAGCTTAACAGTCACAACTGATGGAGGCAAACAGCTGACATGGAATAATATAAAGACAGAAGCCTTGCAGCTGGCCTCAGGAACAGCCCCTCCTCGGCCCCTCCTCCGGTGCTGCAATCATCCATTAAAAGGGACATTGGCTTCAGAAGCGGTACTGTTTTCCTCCATGAGTTTTCAAAGTACTTGAAAAACGGAAATGTTCCTTTGCGGAATCAGAGAGCAAATCAGGAAAGTGAGAGGATGGAGAGTCCTTTCGGGGCCTGTCTTCAGATCCACAGATCTTCCTTGTGCTCCCCAGCACAAAAGGGATGCCGTGCCCGATAAAGAAGGAGGCATCGAAGCGAGGCTCTTTGCTCTTCTTTTAATACAAGTTGTGCAAAATAACTCGACCGAGAGTAAAAAGGGGGGAGTCAGTCCGCCGTTCAGACCCCTGGGGGGGGGCGGTCCTGACGTTAAACCCAGCAGAAAGTCCGGCCCAGCGTCTTCCCCGGCAGCCCCGCCGCCCGTCGAAGGGGAGAGGCTCCGCCGGGGCTCCGCCTGGCCCGGTCTCCCTCCCTGCCCGCTCAGGGACAGACGCGCGGGCCCGGGTAGGGCTCCCCGCCGCACCAGAAGTCGGTCGCCTGCGGCGTCTCCAGCAGCCAGAGCGGGGCGGGCGGCGGCGGGAGGCTCTGTCCGTCGGGCAGCCGGTAGTAGTGGCAGTCGCGCCCGAGGGCCGGGTCGTAGGGCGGCGCCAGGATGTCGAGGAAGGCGGCGGGGCCGCCCTCGGCCGCGATCTGGTGCAGGTTGTCGCGCTGCGGGGAGAGCAGGCAGGGCGGCGCGGCGGCCGTGTAGAGGCGGTGCGAGCGCAGCAGGGCCCGCAGGCGGCGGGGACGGGCGGCGGCGGCGGTGCTGGAGGGGTCCTGCGGCTCCCTCCCGCCGGGCAGCGGCTCTTCTTCCTCCTCCTCCTCCGTCTCCTCCCCGGCGGGGGCGTCGAGGCAGGCGATGCGCAGCGTGCCGTAGAGCACCTTGAGCAGCCCCTGCATGCCCGGGTGGTCGTGGAGCGGGATGCAGGCGCCGGCGCGCAGCACGAAGACGCCCATGCTGAAGCGCGCCGTCTCGCAGATGTGCATGTAGCTGACGGGCGGCTGGCGGGGTCCCGGCACGGGCGAGGGGCCGCGCGGCTGCAGGCCCAGATCCTCGGCGCGCACCTGCCCCAGCAGCTCCCGCAGCCGCTGCAGCTCGCCCGGCGCCTCGCCCGCGCCCGCCCCGAAGGTCGCCCGCGCCTGCCGGGCCACCCGCTGGATCAGCGACGCCGCCGCCATCTCGTCGCGGGGCATCGCGCGCCTGCGCCGGCCGCCGGCCGCCCCGCTCTGCGCAGGCGCCGCGCGGGGAGCGCCGGGAGTGCGGCCCCGCCCGCCACCAGTAAGGGCTCTCTCTCTCTCTCTCTCTCGGGTTGGCAGCTGGGCGCTCGCGGGCGCCTCCCGTCCGGCTGGCAGAGAAGCGGCGGCTGCGGGGCGGCTTCGGGTGTTGGGCTCGGGCGGGCAAAGCCACCCTGGGATCCCCTGGGTGGGGAGGAAATAGGTGAAGCTGCCAGATTAATATTTATACGTTATGTGTAAGGGTGTAGGAGGTCTATACATATTTTGTATACAGTATGTTTAAATGTGTGTTATGTATGCGTACTTTGAGAGCAAGCAACTAAATTTCATTTTTAATGTGTGCCATTGTGCCCACAGTAAAGAAATGACAATAAAGGTTATCTTATCTTATCTTATCTTATCTTATCTTATCTTATCTAAGATATGCGGCGAGTCTCGAAGGAGAAGCGGTGCAAAAGTGGCGCAGGGAGGGAGGAAGGAAGGGAGGGAGGGAGGAAAAGGACAAACCCGAGAACCAAGGTTGGGACAAAGTTTTGGCGATGCTGAACTGAACTTCAGGCACACTGCAAAATTCTGTTATAAATCCTATCACGTTTACCCTCTTTTCCTTACCGGCCAGTCAAGCTGTAAACGTAATTAAATAAAGCGCCGAAGGTCTTGCTCTAGAAGGCCAACCGAATCCTCGCTGCTCTCCTTGGGGCTCGTGGCGCTTCCCACCCGAGAGCCGCCCGTGAGGCTGCGTGGCCGCGACCACGGCCACTCTTCCTCCAGACTCCGGGCCAGGCTCGCGGGGGGTGGTGGGGGCGGAGGGTCCACAGAGAGGAAGAGTCCTCCTGATCCCCTCCCGAAGGGGGCTCGGCTTCAGCAGCTTTCTCTCTTGGGTCGGCTTTCAGTGGGAGAAGAAAAGAGAAGGCGCCGCCCGTGAAAAGAAGAGGGGAGGGGGCGAAAAGTAATATCCTGCCGTCCTCCCCCCCCCGAGGGGGTTCAGCCCTTTTTTCTGCCCTTCGCTCTTTTCCTAGTCAAGTTTCAGCCAAGGCCTCTCTACGCTGTTGCTGTTCAAGGTTCTGATGTCCGTCTCCGCACAAGCACGCACACACACACACACACACACACACACACACACACACACACACACACACACACACACACACACACCTTCTCCAAGCCCGCAGCCACCCCGGAGACACCCCGAGTTAGCCGGGGTCTTGCTGACCGAAGGAAGCTTCTTCACGCTCTCCTATCCTGGCCAGCTTTCTTGCGCTGCTCCTCCTCGGCTTGGTTTTTCACTGCCCGCTTCTTTACCGCTGCCCGCTACTTGGGGTTGGGGCTGAAGAGGAGCAGCGAGCAAATCTTCTGGCTTGGGGCAGGCAGACATGGTGTGGCCAGAGGGAGAAATAAAAGGAGGGATTTTGTGGGCCCAGAGAGGCTCCCCTTGGTTGAGTGAATGGGATTTCTGCTCCTTTTAATCAAGATCGTGACCGTTTGAAATCATTCTTGTCCAAAAGCCACAAAGGTGCCCAAATAGTTTTTTTCAAAGACTTCATTTTAGGGTGGCCCAAACAAGAGGTGGATAATGGGGCTATCCCTCCACTCTTATGGCCCTCACATGCGTTTTTGTTTGACTGCAATTTTCTGTGTCATGCAGACCCAACACACTACACTGACGTATGGCTAGTAATTTGTTTATTTTTTACTAGTATCCCATCTTTATTATTTTTATAAATAACTCAAGGTGACAAACATATCCAACACGCCCGCCTCCTCATATCCTTCCCACGACCAAAACCTTGTGACGTGGGTTGGATTGAGACAGGGCGATTGGCCCAAGGTCACCCAATTGACTTTCACGGCTAAGACATGAGCAGGTGGAGAGGAAGGTGCCCTGGCCATATTGAGGAACCGGACTTTGTGTCTGTCTTAACCATCCCAAATGTTATTTCACAGCAGCCCTTGAGAAGCATTATGGGGCTTCTTAATAATAATCAGAACAGAGCTGGAAGGGACTTTGGAGGTCATCTAGTCCAATGAGCCGAGGTGGCGCAGCAGTTAGAGTGCAGTACTGCAGGCCACTTTAGCTGACTGTGTTCAGCAGGTCAGCGGTTCAAATCTCACCGGCTCAAGGTTGACTCAGCCTTCCATCCTCCGGGTAGGTAAAATGAGGACCCAGATTGTTGGGGGCAATGTAAATATATATATACATTGCTTACTGGTGTACACCGCTTAGAGAGTGCTTGCACTTAAAGCGGTATATAAGTCTCATAAATAAATAAATAAATAATAAACTCCCTGCTCAAACAGGAGAGCCTATATCATTCTGGACAAATGGCTGTCCAGTCTCTTCTTAAAAACTTCCAGTGTTGGAGCACCCACAACTTTCGGTGGCAAGCAGTTCCACTGGTTAATTGTTCTCACTGTTAGGAAGTTTCTCCTTAATTCCAGGTTGCTTCTCTCCTTGATCAGTTTCCATTCGTTGTTTCTTGTCCTGCCTTCTGGTGCATTGCAGAGTAAGGTTGACCACCCTCTTCTTTGCGGCATTATTTGTGGAACAAAATCTCCCTTATAAGCTACTGTTTCATGTTTCTGTGTGTTTTCAATTTCTTCATTTGCAAACACCCCCTGTGTAAATTGCCATTTTCTTTTCAAAAGCTGCTTGCAAATAACTGCAAAAGGCTGACTTCCTTTTGCAGTCCTGATGCAGATGTGAAACAGTGATATTACTTCATAACTGAGAGGCTGATGAACTGTTTCCTTGAAGTTTATGAATCACTTCTTTGGTAGTGACCGTCATAACAAATGGAAAGCTAAATGCCAACCTCAGAGATAAGCAAGATGACTTAGTCTTCTCAGAGAATAATGCACAGAACCCAAACATTTAGCAGAGAATGAAATGGGGAAGTTAGACTAGCGTAACTTTGCCTTGTTCTGGTCATGTAATCGGCAGATCCTCTTGGTGGAAAATTCTAGCATTGGCAGAAGCCATAGAAATGAGGTTTTCTACAGTTGTACAGCCTATAAATTATCTCGTGCTGGCATAATGTGATAGTGGGCAATTACTGAAAAACCTGCCCATCTGTTCATTGCATTTCCACACTGGCACCACAGAACGCCCGGCTTCCGTCCTGCAGATCCTCTTGGTTCAGTCCCCCCCTCTGAGCCCGGCACACCTACGGTCTCTCTCTCCGGGGCAGGGGGAAGCTTGTGTTGTACGGCTGTGAAAGCTGGCAGCTCAAACGCTGAATCACTGGAGATTCACATTTAAGGGCCATGTTTGTGTGTGATGGGCAATATGACAAATACATAAATTCTGAAAGGGTTTCCTGTAGCAAAATGCCCAATCCCCAAAGGTGCTCGTGGCTGGGTGTCCAACAATGCCTTCTTGTTCTCTGGCATTCATGCTGGTTTGGCTGGCCAGTGAGGCTGACCGATGGCTCCAGACCAAACACCTTGGTCACCCCGGAAAGCCTCTCGATATTTACTGTTTTAGAAATTAAGAAATTTTACAAATTTACATTTCCTTCCTTGGCCTCCTGGGGGGCCCTTTGAGACCCATTGTTGGAGAGGATAGTTAGGGTTCTTTGGCTGCAGAGTCTCTGGGCCCATGTCAGTCTGGACAAGGCCTGCTTATAGGGCGGGAGAAGGAGGAACGATCTTCCCAACAAGGCCCCTTGGCTCTCTGTGGGGTCCCTTGACCACCACTGGGGCAAAGCTTAGCATGGTTCCGCTCGTACCTGCAGCGCACCCCACAGCCCCAGCGGTTCCACTTCCGGGGCCTCTGGGGCCCCTCTTTTCCTGGTCTGTCCGGGGCCCCTCTTGCTCCTGGGGAGAAGCTGGGATCCCGGCATTCCCGGGATCTTGTGGCGGAGGAACGAGCAGAGTGGCTGAATGTCTGCTGAGCACCGTTGAGGAAGCCCCTTTGGGACGGGCAGCAAGGTTTGAGCAAAACATTCGAGGGGCTGGTTGAGGGGCCACAAAGCCTCCCCCCAGCTACCGAAGGGGCTCCCAGCCTCACACGCAGCTCATCAGGAGCCCAGACAGAGGAACATTCCCGAGGCTTCCTGGTCTGCCCAAAGAGCAAGGAAGTGCAGGGCAGTTGCCCTTCCTTGCTATGGATGCCCGGAGGGGCCATCCCGTCATTGGCAGGAAGGCGAAGGTCATTCTGCTTTTGCTGAAAGGGAGGAAAGTAAAAGGGGGGATGGGATTCTGCCCAGGAAAGGGGGGAGGGGGAAATCATCACCTCCCTTTTTCTCTGGAGGTTTTTCCGGGTCCTGAGATTTGGGGGGGGGGGGAAGGCTGCCGGGGGGAGCCCCTCCTGGGTGCAGGGGCCAGTGGTTGGTGGAGCGTCTGGAGGGTTTTAGGAAGTTTTGAACTGCCTCCATCTCCAGAGACTTCCGGTCCCTCCTAATAATCGGGAGCTGAAGACGGCTGGGGCTGAACCAGGGCAGGGTGGGCAGGACCCCAGAGCAGTTCCAATCCTGCCCTGCAGCTCCTTCGCTCTCACTGAGGGGCAACGTTTATTGCAGGGGGTCTTTAATGGGAGGGCAGTCGGAGCACCTTGGAAAACAGGTGTTTTTGGGCTGTTCTTGGGCACCAGGGAGGAGCCCAGTCTGGACCTTATCAGTCAGTCATAGCTCTTTGATTAGGACACAGTTGTCTGCCCTGGTTGGACTGGCCCTTGTATCCATTCCCCAGAGAACATTAAGAGGGGGGTGTTGGGGGCAGGGGGAGCGATGCCTGTCTTGGGCTGCTAGAACAGGGCAGGCAAGGAGCTGGCACAGCCCGCACTGCTAATTGCAGCTGGGCTTCCGGGTGGATTTATTTATTTACTTATTTATTCGATTTATGTAGCCAGCCATCCCAAACCTCTGGGCTGCAAACCACCCTGGGCAAGGCTGCAGAGAAGGGCAGGGCCCGTGGGGCTTCCTGGGGGTGGGGGCTCAGGCCGTGACTCAGGGAGTAAATATGGTTGCTTTCCTGCTGGC